TCCTCTCGAGCAACCGGAGGTCATATGAAGTCGAAGCAATCCTTTTCCTTCGCGTGCACCAATCCTCCACTTGACACCTTTCGTCTCGGCGAAGCATCCTTCCTTGTCAAAGATAACAGGCCCAACGTCCTTGGTGAAGCGCCCAACTAAGAATAAATATCTTGACAACTTGGGAATGTGCCACACATTTGTCAGCACACCCTTCTTTATTCCGTACGAAGTCTTCATTGACATGACAATGTCGCCGCTGCCGAAAGCTTGTACGACCCCGTCGTCTGCCAGATGTACGTCAATAGGAGAAAACGCCTTGTGGTTCCTCATGAATTTCTTCGAGCTTGTCATATGCTGAGTCGCCCCCGAGTCGACCAGCCATACATCATTCGCCTGAACAGAGTCACTGCTACCGCCAATTGCGAAAAGATGGTCACCAGAATCTTCAAATTGCGCAACGTTTGCTCGCTGCAATCGATATCGTTCAGTATCGTTCTGGACTCGCGAGGGGCAATCTGCGACCCAATGTCCTTGTTTCCCGCAATTATGGCACGCACCAGTTTTCTTCGCTGGTCGTCCTTTGCGCTTCGCATCCTTCATCATAAACGCTTGACCAGGCGCTGCTCCATCGCCGCCCTGCTCCTTGCGTTTCATGTCTTCATGTAGGAGCCGTGATGTCACCAGCTCCCAAGTCAAAGTATCCGCACGCGATTCCAATGCTGTTATGAGGAACTGGTACGAATCACTAATACTTCTAAGAAACGTGATAACCAAGTCGTCCTCGCTAACTGGAGCACCCACAGCGTCGAGCTGCTCCGCTAGCGTCTTGAGCTTGTTGATGTGTTCAAGAACATCATCACCTTCTTCCATCATAGTTGTAAAGAACCGTCGATGAAGAAAGAGCTTGTTGGCGAGATTTCTCTTCTCGAAGTGTCCTTCCAGTCGCGACCATGCATCATGCGCACCACTTGACGACCGGACCAGCGGCAGTTGCGAGTCTTCCATTGCAAGACAAATCATCGCCAACGCCTTTCGAGATTTTCTTTTTTAAGTCGACTGGTCCATTGCATTCTTGCAGTGCTCCAGCTTGGTTTCTTCACATGTAACTTCCCACAGATCCCTCTTCTCCAGCACCATCTGCATCTTGAACTTCCAGTTGTGGAAATTAGTGCCGTCGAACTTGTTGATTCGACTTGGCGTAGACGTATCCATGGTGACGAAGGCAGAGTCGGAGAAAGGAGAGGCGGAGTCGACAGGGCTGGGGTCATAACCTATTGGCTTTTAGGTAGCTTAAGCACTAGATGGCAAAATGCAAAGTGAATATATTAAGGTCCTTAGTTCGCAATGCTACCTCTAAGCCTATCTAGAATATTCTACCAAATATTCAACTGGATTCCTTACTGGATTCATGTATCTTCTATGCGCTTGTGGATAGCCTCTTTGCTGGATACTTCACTG